GATTTCAGATGTCTGATTAGACTCCCTCTCCCAAAATCCCCTCTTGGATAGTTGCCTAATGAACAGTAATCCAGGTAAAACTACAAGACTTGCTCTGATCCTCTTAGCTTCATATTCTTGCAGAGCTCACTTTCAAACTAATAGAAATACCATGTTAAAAACACAAAGCTAGGAAGAAAGAAGAACCTTAGGGTTTTGGATTGGTGCATAAGTTTTCTACGCTCAGCAAATTTTGAGTATGAGTTTAGGGCACTTTGTTACAGAGTTATCGGTGCTTATAAATCACTGCTATTTAGACAGCTTCACTGTCATAACTGTTGATCCAAATCATTTTAAATGATTTTAAAAAGATCCAAGTCATTTTTATCTTCAGAAGAGAGATTCTGTGTAGTTCACTGAGGAAAAAAACTTAAATATAAGGTGAATGACCCTTATTAGGAGAATGGCTGAAATAAATTGCAGTATAATGACAACATGGAATACTATTCAGTCATTGTAACAATGAATTAGAGATATTTACATGAAGAATTCTTGAATGACAAAAATATTATGTAGAAAAATATTTGTAATAAAGGCGATCCTATTTTTTGATAAACAAACAATGACAAAATACCTCTATTCGTATGTCATTCTGTATGCACGGATGTGTATATATATTTAGATATGATTGTATGGCATGAAGGAAACTATAAAATCATACACATTAGGTTTTTAACATGGGTTAACTGTGGGCAGGAATAGGGTAATATGATGCAAAAGGAAGGAGAAGGAATAAAGTGATTTATGCAAAAAAAAAAGAAAAGAAAGACTTCCATTTAAAAATAATATATATAATATGATCATATTTATGTATTATAAAAAGAAGAAAAATCAACTCCCAATGTTGGAAGAAAAGAAAAAGAAGCATTAGAGTAGATAAGGAAAGTAAAAGTGATTCCGAGGTAGGAAGCACTTCCAAATGGCACAGTAAGATCCTCCAAAAATCTGTTCCTCCATGAAAGCAGTAAAAACACTGGAAAAATTATCAAAATCAAATTTTTCAGAACTTCAGAATTTAGCCAAAGGCCTGCATCAATTAGAAGAGCATTAGGAAAGTGGCTGAATCACCATAAGAACTATGCCTTTGTAGCATTTTAACTTGCCCTATTCCTATCACCCTCTCCCTAGTTCTGTGATAGCCTTGAAGATCATGGCCTTGCAACCACAGCAACTATGAAAGCCAGAAATGTAGGAGACAATGGTGGGGGAAGAATGGGTTTGAAGCTCCCAAAAAAGCCACCGCCAGAGAATTGTCACCATTCAATCCATCTGGAAGCCCCCTGGAAGGGATCTATTCTCAGGGCTTGTCTTTATTCGATTTGACTCAGAACTTTCTCTATGCAAACAGTTCTATTCCCAGGGCACTTGTCAAAAACAATCTGTGGCTATTTTTTAGCATCACAGCTACCTGAGGCAAGGATTCCTGTTGTAAATAAGATGCTGACCAAAACACGTATAAGGAAAAACTGGGGAATGAGATGTCCAAGGTAGCCTTTGAAAGACTCTGACATATTCCCTGGGATCTAGATGGCCAGGGCTGTGCCCATATCCAACAAAGATATGAGAAGTCAGTCATAAAAGCCACAAATGTATTGTATGGTGCCCTTTATATGAAATGTTCAAAATAGGCAAATCCATAGAGACAGAAAGTACATTAGTTTTGGACACAGACTGAGGGAAAGGGGAAATGAGGAATAATGGATACAGTATTTCTTTTTGCAGTGATGAAAATGTTCTGAAATTAATGGTAATGGTTCCACAACTCTGTAATAGATATTAAAAATACTGAATTGTACATACTAGAGGGTGAATTTCATAGGATGTGGATTATATCTCAAAAAGTAGGGTTTTTTTTAAGTGAATGAGAAGTATGAAGCATTTTCATCTGATATAGAAGATTTAGGAGCTGGTTACCAAAAAGTATAACGAGAGAACAGAACATTTAAAGATTTCAGCACATTAATCCACTCTCTTGTCACTTTAATTCCTCATAGAGTTTCTAGGTTATTTTATTGTGTGCCATATTATTTTTAACCCAAAATCTCTTGGTTGGTCAAAGAGTTTTTCCCTTCCCTTAAAATTCAATTTACGTTTAAATATTTATGAAATACATAAGGAGAAAAAGTGAAAATAAAAACCCAAATACAGACTGCAACCTAGAAAAATCCCTTGCTGAAATAAGCATGAAAGCTAACTATGGACCTTTCCACATTACCACTGGTTTTCAAAATGCAACTAATGAAACTCCAGAGGTAACAGATGTCACATAAAACTTGCTTCACACTTACAAAGCCCAGCTCTGCCCCACAGTGTAATATGAGGAAATTCTAGTTAAAACTTTACTCACTGCAGTATTCTATGCTTCGGCATGATATGAAGGCCCCCCAGGAGGAAAGGTCTTAAGGAAAGGCTATTTCCTGGTACCTTTTGCCAGGAGTTCTCCCCTTGGTTTCCTACCCAGGATATTCGGATAGGATAGAATGTCTGGCCACTGTATTTTTGGACCGAAGTGGACTTAAATAGCTTTTGTAGGTGCCAGGAATTTAAAATGACATTTTAGTTAGAGAATAATAAAAAAGGGGATAAAAGCCAATTCTCTGCTAGGTGTTAGGACAGACATAAGGCATTAAATGATACTTTAAGTAAAATTGGTTAAATAAATATCAAGTGCAGAAGTGTGATTAGGCATCACCAACCAAAAGTGATGAGATACTAAATTTTTGAAATGACTGTAGTTCATTTATTTATTCACTCAACAAATATTTTATTGAGCACTGGCTATACAGCAGTAAACAAAACAGACTACTCTCCCTAATCTGCTCAGTAATGCTCCTGCTACTGCAAAGAAAGCTGTAAAATTAAATGAGGATGCGTGAAATACTTGAAAGAGCATCTGAATCCTACTTCCATGTCTACCGATTTCTAGACAAGTGATATTGGGTATGTCAACTTAATTTCTCTAAGCCTCAATTTCATACCTTGAAAAGTGGTGTATGTTACCTGTCCTGCATACCTCCTTAGTTAATTATAAGGACCATGGAGAAAATATTCAAACATGCCCTGAAAACTATCAAAAGCTCTATAATCCCGGGCCAGCAATATTACTGAAATGTATGGACGACTATCAAATCTCTTCAATGAATAATGTTAGTTAATATAGACAGTCTACTGAGAGTCTATGTGGTCAGATGGTAAAACTCAATGCTAACTGTCAAGTACATTAAGAACAAAGACATATTCAAAGGTGTTGACTTTTCTTCATTTAATCACTCTAATTTCACCTGGATTTCCTTTCCACGTCAAATTACGTTCATATTTTCAAGCAATGTTCCAGCTATAGGAAGAGAAAATGAGTCAAATAGACTTCCATCAAACTTCTAAACTTAGCAACAAGTACCATATGTTTCTTTACTCTTTGGGGTATGTATTTGTCACCTCTACTTGAATCTTAGATGACGAAACTTGCAAAACAGAGACAAATCCACTTAGTAAAAGAAAATAACAATTGCTGTAATGGCAACCACATTAACTGGACTGAATGTTTGCTTAAATTACTTCTGTACTTCTGATGAAAAACATTGTCCTTAAGAATAATGAAGTGCTTAAGACATGACCAAAATATTAAAAACCTCAAAATTAAACTCATGAGGAAAATAAATTTTACTTGGCATAATTCCGGTTTGCAGTATTACCGTCAGGTAACGAACATGAATCCATATGAATCACTGGTGAACAACAAGCATTGAGAAACTGTTAATACCTATAGGTACTGTGTGCAACAATGGAATGCAAACAATCTGTCTCTTTGGGGCTAGAGAAATAGAATAATCCTGCCTTTCTTCAGACACTGGCAAATATATACCGTGATAGCTAAGAATCAGCTTAATCCTTCCCTTCCTGGCCCAGAATGAAAATAAATACTCTGTCTTAGACCTAAGATGTGATTCCCTTTGTGGGTTTTCATGAAAGAAGGAGGAACAAACAGGAAAATGATCATAGATGGATGGGTTTTGTATAATTTTCAGTCTACACAACATTCTGTTAGGAAGTAGAAAATAAGAATTAAGACAACTGCAGAGAAAGTTCTCACAGCGACTGCTCTGATTATGTTTCGTCAGTGCTAACTGGATCAGAGCTGAAGCTCTTTGGCACTTTCCACACAAATCCACTCCCACCATCATTCTGGAAGTTTAGTAACTTGACTGAAAAATCTGAGGAGCATGGAAGGATACAGTCACATTCCAGAGCATGTTGTCTGCCACCATCTAACCGACCCCATCTCCACATTTTCTGTCTTCTTTCTCTCTCCCAGCTCTTTTTCTGGAATAACTGACAAATTGTTCCATTTGTCCTCAAGCAGAAGTTTCACACATACCATTTTCCTTGAGGTAGGATCATTTGTCAGCCACCAACAAGTAAAATAAATTGCATAGCCAATAAAAGAGGGAGAAGAGGGAATTAAGGGCAAAAGAACACATGGACACCTCCAAAGCAAATGGGAGGACAGCTCCTGTTAAATGACTTGGCATTGTATTGCAGAATTAGGAGCCCTCCCACGAGGTACCAATAACAGAATAAGTAACTTACTTATTAGTTTAACCATCTCAAAATAAGTAACTTAAAACTTTAAAACAGAAGCATGAACTTTCAGAGGTGAACCACCCCAAAATCAATACTGTTATATTGGGGCAAGCAGCATAAATTTTTATGCCTCAGAAATGTTAAACGATATGGACACGTTTTCGTTACTTACTCGTGTCCCTATCTGGACAGCTGAGCTAATGGCATCTCGCGTGTAGGAATAGGGCACTCAGCTAGGCTGGTCAGATAATGGAGTGGAGCTTCACCTGTGTGACCAGTAAGTGATTGTGAATTAAGAGCATCAGTGGCCACACATAAAAATCTATCTGTGGGTTCCACAGACATCAGAGGGCACTCACGTTCAGCACCTTTGGACTTACTTGTATTCCTGTGGTTTTGGTCCCCTGGCAGAGAAGCAACCGTGGTCGAGGCTGGAATGTGTTGGTTGAAATGTGCAGCAGATGTCACAGTGCTCTCATTATAAATTGTGTTTGTAAGAAGAACATCAGACACTTGGACTTCACCATCAATGACCAAAAGATCACTTCCATTTGATTTAAAATAGGCCTTTTTTAATGTTCCTGAAAGAAAAAAAAAAGATATTTTAAAACATTACTAGAAGTATTTATTTGAAAAAACATGTTAAGAAAACTCTAGAGCTACTTTGCCAAGTCTCCTTCTATCCAGGCAAACACGAAGAAAAAGATGATGGCGAGCACAATGACCCACTTCATGTGGACAACCAGTAGAGTTTTGCCTCTATCGCAAATCACATAACCCTGCAAAGAAACTATTGCTTTCTTAAGAGCTTAAAGTTTAGAAACTGAGTCTCCCGTCCAGGTTCTGGGTGTCCAAAGAATTTAGGGCAATTCCACTTCACCTGAGACTCATCACAAATAAATAAAGTCTGGTGAATCTTATAGTGTTTCCTTCATGCTTTCTGTTTCTCAATTTTACCCATCATTGAATGCTACTCAGTACCCAGGACATATGCTCTCCATATATCTCTCTCTGCCACCAAAGGACGTAATAGTGCCTGCTTAGCTTCAGTTTTATATTTCTCCACATTTTCTACTAAATTTCAGTGAACTACACATAACAGATAAATAAAAATAATAGGGCTCATATATTTTCCAAGACTTATTTCCTAGAAACCAAAATAAAGCAGAACTCTAATTCCAGCAAAACTAAAAGAAGAAACTAAATTATCTTCATGTTTGACCAGAAGCTATAAAATATAATTATAAGAAATAAGAAATAGTCATTAAACTAAGGTTATCAACTGGTCACTTGCAAGGTATTCATTCATTGACAAAATAGTCAAACATAAGATTATTGGGAATCACCTAGCTTTGGCTTTAGGCAAAAACTTTTAAAAACTTTGAAAGAGATTGTGTATTTTTAACTCAGTCAAAATAGACAACAGACTGTTTCCGGAATACAGCACTGTGGTTGAGTACGCCACTAAAATAAATGAATGTGATATTAATCCATTATAGAAATACCCAAGGGAGATTTTTTTTTTCTAAAAACATTTACAGTGAATGCTCTAACTGGTTCTCACTTTTCCAAACCATGGGCCATTAAAAATAAAAGAAATATAAATAAAATGTTTAATATCAGCCTATGGAAAAAATTTCTCTACATGTGCTCAACACTTGGAAAATATTAACTACAAATCAAAATAGAAAAGCAGCTGTTTTCTAGCCAACTAAGGTCAACAGTTTCATCTGCCAAAGGATTCTAAATAAAACATGGGAGTGAAAAAACTAAATCATGACCATGTGGTACAGGTAACACACTCTCCAAACTGTCTGTGCAATTATGAGAAAATATCAAATGCAGTAGGTGAAATAAAAGACTTCATTTAATTGTTTTTGATTTTCAAAATGATTTAGAATTTATCCTAGATCAAAATAAATGTATGTGATAGGCTTGGTTACTATATAATGCATACTTCCTTCATACAGAAAAGTTCAGTAATATCAATTAGATATAGTCTAATCAATTAGATACAATTTTATTTTCATCCATTTGTTAGTTATTCTCTCCTTTATTTATTTTGGCATAAAGAGATTTTTTCACATAACATGTTATTTCCACTAATGTAGCTGTAAGAAATATATAAGGCCCATAAAGTTGATTTATTTATCATGTTCACCCTGTGAGTCAGCATCTGGCTCTGTCAACAGACTTTTAGGAAATGCCAATTCCTCAAGGTTGTATCCCTGAGTAATTCACTGAAAAGGAGATCCTTATCATATGAAATATTCCAAGAGTTGTTCTTAACATTTTGTTTGTAATGATTAGCATTATTAACAGTCTTTCCTTTATTTTTTTCACCTAAGCACAGTGGTGAAAGTGTTGACAACATCTGTGTACTCTAAGAAGTCCTTTGAAACACCGACTTTCTTAGGAGACACTAACTTGGATAACAATTTCCTAAAAAAAGGCAGCTTTCTGCTCTTAAACTCTACATATCAAAGCAAGCTAGCAGAATAAAGAGAAAGATAATACATGATATACAATAGTTGCTGTAGCTAATGGCCCTAAAATGTATTTTTGAGAGAGATAGACAGACCGAGGGAGAGAGAACAAACCTAAAGGACTTGTCTTTAGAAACCTGAACTCACTAGACAATTTGTTTTCAAGCATTTCTAGAAACCAACCAACTCTCCACTCAGTTGGTCATCTATTGCGCATTTTTTAAAAAGCACAAAAATTAGAACTCAGTAAGACTAAATACTCTCCAGCTACACCATGACCAGCTATAAAAATGCTGAGAGTTATTAGCCCAAAGTAGAGTGTTCATTCTTCCAGTGTTGCCCCATCCTTTTCCACGTTCCTCTTTCTTTAGTGCTGTGGTTAAAAGTGCAGGTTCTACAGCCTGACCACCTGAGTTTAAATCCCATCTTTAGCACTTACGAGCCCTGAAACTTTGGGCGAACTCTCAACTGCCATAAAATAAGGAAAATAAAAGTACTTCCCTCATGGGGGGGGCCATTAGGATCAAATTAGTCAATACCTATATAAACACTTGGAACAGTTCCTGGCACACAGTAAATTCTCAGTGTCAGTCATTACTACACAACGATAGCAACAAATTGTCTTTCTTAGGGCTACTAAGGTAGTTTCAAATAAATACCAATTTCCTTTTACTATAAGTGCAACTCAGCCTAACAAAATGGCTAAGGAAATTTTCAAAAGTGAGTCACTTAATCCTCTTTTAGAGTAAAAGAACTGTGGCTCTTTCATGCTAAGTTATTAATAGAAGGCCACATTGTATCAAGGTTGTATGGCTCAAAAGTGTCTCAGCTCTGTAACACAGTTTTATTTGACAATGTTTAAGAAATAGTCTATAATTCCAATAATAATAGCCAGGCTTTACTGATCACTTACAATGAGTGGACTGAGCACTGCAGTAGGCAAAATAATGTTACCCCAGATACGTTCACATCCTAAGTCCCAGAACCTGTGAATATGTTACCTTACCTACCTTACCTGGCAAAAAGGATGCTGTAGATGTGAATAAATTAAGGAATTTGATATGGGGAAATTATCTTGGATTATTCAGGTGAGCCCAAGGTAGCAACAGGGTACATATAAGCAGAAGAAGGAGGTAAGAGAGTGTGTATAAGAGCCATGCAGTGTGAGAAAGACACAATGGGCTCATTTTGAAGATGGAAAGAGGCCACAAGCCAAGGAATGTGGGAAGCCTCTAGAAGCTGGAAAAGACAGAAAACAGATTGTCCCCTAGAGCCTCCAGAAGGAATACAGTTCTGTCTACATCTTAATTTTACCCAGTGAGACCTATTTTGGACTTCAAACCTCCATAACTCTAAGGTAACATATTTGTGTTGTTTTAAGCTACCAAGTTTGTGATCATTTGTTACAGCAGCAATAAGAAACTAATACAGGCACCTTGCTAAGTATCCTCACTGCAAGCATCTATTGAGTTAGCCTTCCAACAATCCTATGAAACAGGTGCTATAATTAATTCTTCTTTATGGAGTTTCAGAGAGAAGGAAACTGAAGCTTACAAGAGTTATTTAAGTTACCCAAGAATTGAGTTGGGACATGACACATACACAAACACCCACACACACTTCTCACTTTGGACAAGGTATACAGGTTAAAAAAAAAAAAATCAACCATCATATGCATGTAAAAAAAATTATCTTCCTAGGATGTGAGTTTAAAATTAATTCCTTGCCTTTATATCTCCAGCCACGTGGTAATACATTTACTTTGCATTTTCTATGTGCCAGAAACTTTGTATTTACTCTCTGCTGAGAACACAAAATTTAGTAAGCAGTTCTTGTCATCAAGATGTTTATAGATTAGTTGAGGGAGACAGGCATGTAGTCTAAAGATACAAACCATGCTACAAGTGCTTTGAGAATGATATGCATAGGACGATCTGGTGACAAAAAGTAGAGAAATAGCTGTCTTCCGTTTGAGAAAGTCAGGAAAGGCTTCTTAGGGGAAAATGATCCTCAATGTGAATCTTGAAAGATGATTAGGGATTTTTCTAGGTTTGAGCAAAGCATTTGTGAGGAAGATGGAGGTATAGTAAAAGGGAATGGAGAACTTTCTAGACAAAGCAAAGGGTGGAAGATATGCAAAAGCCTAGCATCAAGTAATTAAACATGACGAACCCACAGGAGACTGGCAAGAGAAAGGGCTAGAGAGGGAGTAGAAGCCAGACTGTGAAGGACATTTCCTGTTAAAGATTTGGAACTGATCTTGTGAAGGAACACTTTAGAAGGACCTTAAATAGGGTGGAACGTTAGAACGATCACTCTGGCGGCAGGGTGATGCTTGAAAGGCGTGAAGTCTAGAGGATGGTTAAAAGGCTATTGCAATAGTCCAAGTGAGAAAAGAGTAAGGCCTGACCCAAGGCAAAAGCGGTGAGGACAAAGGGAAGGTTTGGAGAGAGCTTTCAGGGGCAAATTGTGAGAACATAAGGGAAAGAGTCAGAGGTCCTTCAAGGTTTCTGGTTCAAATTCCTGGGTACATGAAGGTACTCCCAACTGAGATAGGGGTGTAGGCCATGCTATTCATCATATATTTTCAATTCTTTCTCATTCTACTAGGACACACACTTGGGTTACATTCTCTGGCCTCATTCTCTGTCTCTTGACATCTTTGATGTTGGTGAATGGGTACAAATTTCCAGTTATAAGACGCATAAGTTCTGGGGATCTAATGTACAGCATGGTGACTATAGTTCATAATACTGTATTATATACTTTTAAAAAAAGAGCCTCCAGTGCTCTTTCTCTTTCTCTCTGGCACAATAGCCACAAAGGTTCAAGATGATGGCTGGTCCATCAATTTAGTCCCCGAATGACATCAATGAGCATAGCCCCCTGACATTTTGCAAAGGACATGTAGCATGAGTGAGAAATTGACCTTTGTTTTTTTTTGAGGAAGATCAGCCCTGAGCTAACAAGATTGCCAATCCTCCTCTTTTTGCTGAGGAAGACCAGCCCTGAGCTAACAGCTATTGCCAATCCTCCACCTTTTTTTTTTTTCCCTTTTTCTCCCCAAAGCCCCAGTAGATAGTTGTATGTCACAG